AAACAAGGAGAGACGGGTATTTTTTATATCACAGGAGACATGCAAAAAAGATTTTGAAGAAGTACAAGATGGAAAATTGCAACCCGGTATCAACACTAATGGAACCAGGTGCAAAACTCTCAAAGTACGATGAAGGGGAACGAGTAGATGCAAATAGGTACCGTAGTTTGGTAGGAAGCCTTCGCTATCATGCACATGGCCAGATCTTTCATTAAGTGTCGGCATTATAAGTTTGTTCATGGAGGAGCCGATTTATTCACATTGGAAGGCGTTGGAGCGAGTCCTACAGTACATCCAAGGAACGGTGTCACTTGGGTTGTTCTACTCGAAAGCAGAAGATTACAAGTTGGTTGGTTACTCTGACAGCGATTGGTGAAGAGACATAGACGATCGGAAAAGTACATCAAGTTATGTATTCTTTATGGGCAACACAACATTTTCTTGGCTTTCAAAGAAACAACCGATCGTGACGCTTCAATGTGTGAAGCTGAATATGTGGCAGCATCTTGGTGTGTATGTCACGCAGTATGGCTTAGAAATTTGTTGAGCAAGATAGAGCTAAAGCAACTAGGTGCAACTGTGATTCAAGTTGACAACAAATCAGTAATTGAGTTGGCAAATAACCCAATGAACCAACACATTGACGTTCGTTTTCACTTTATCCGAGATCATGAAGGAAGTGTGGAATTGTTGTATGTGGCAAGTCAGGATCAAGTTGCGGATATTTTTACAAAACCGCTACTGAAAGTACTTTTTGACAAATACAGGAAGATGATTGACATGACGGATGGTAGAAGCATTTAAGTTTATGGGGGAGTTTTGTTGAAAAAACAATGAATGTTATTTTCTTTAGTGGGTTTTAAATTCAGAAGCTAGTGAAAATGTGATAGGTCAAGAGTCTGGTAGATGAAAAGCCAAGAGTTGTTATAGGAGATAATGACGTTTTTATGGCTATAATTAGGTTTTATTATCAGAGATAATGACGTTTTTATGGCTATAATTAGGTTTTATTATCAGTTTTAGAATTGTATGTGAATGCTTATAAATAGATTGTTGATGTAGAGAAAAAGACATAAAACAACAGAGAAGTAATAGAAAAGTGTTTCTTCAGAAAAATATAGTGTTTTGTCTCTCCACTCACCAAAGAAAAGTAGTGTGACTGAGATTCTTTTTTTAGAGGCTTTAAACTTAGCTAGGTTGAACTTCTCACTCCAAATATGAATTTATGTATGTGCTGGAACCAAACTTCATAAATAGTAGTTTTAATAGCATTGGATATTGGATATTGAATTGTTGGAAAAAGAGATACCAACAATTGAACACATAAGAACAGTTAAAGATGTGACTTTGATCCTCTAAAGCCTTAAAACAGAGAGCACAAATTGAGGGCTGTAACAAAAAATAAGACAGCTTCTTTTGTAAAAATTCTACTGCATTCTGCCCTTTATATAGCAGAATCCACACTAAAACATTGACCTTCTTGGGCTTTTTGTCTTTCAAATTGCAAGAAGATGTAGGAAAATGATTGGTCATAGATATAACAGAATAAAAGCCTGAAAGGGGCAATTTTCCAAAGATTTTCGTCCTCCCTTACAATTCTTCGAATTCATCATCCTTCAAATTGCAACAAGGTATGATCTTCCAAGAACAATTTGCAGCTTCCCATCATTCTGTAACCGGACAACCAGGTGTAGAAACCACATTAAAAGACAAGGAAATCTTGACTTTAAAGTAGAATTCCAACATCACTCATCATGCCAAACTTGAATTCGATTACCATTACTAATTCTGGAAAGACAGATGTTTCACCGATTCCCAAAGATTAGAAATGTTGACCCAAGGGTTGTGGTAACAAGTGTTTCTCTTACCAATAGTATGCCTTCGGAAAGAATCAAAATCATGGATACTTGCAATTACCTACTGCCATAGGGTGGATGACTCATGGAAAATCTCCACCCCTATTTTGCAAGAAGAGCAGAAGTTTCTCATGAAAAAATGCAGGAAGAGCTGAATTCTTGGCCTTCAAACCACAATTCAGAGTCCACCGTCTGTCATTATTTTTAGAACCAGATTTTATCTGACAAGACGTTTCGGCTTGCCATCTTCGTTGCCCGCCCATACAAAATCTTATATGTTTCTCAATCATAGGAATACAAAAAGTGTCAAAATAAATTTGTCAAGTTAGACTTGGAAAAAATGGAATTGGATAAGGTTAATCTTCCTCCTCTAGAAAGCTGGCCAGTTTCTTCATCACCTTTTCAGAAAAGGTTAGGCATTTATAATTTTGAAATTTGGCGTATGAAACCATTTTGGATGACTAGCTGCATCAGTTGAGAGAATAAAGGATTTTTGGCTTTTGATCGACTGAAATCCTGCGTGCGGTCTTACGTAAAAAGGTTTTCGAATGGAAAAAGCTCAGTCTGGAAATGTTGTGTTGTTGAAAAGTAGAGATAAAAATAGTAAAGAGAAGGGGGTTCAAACATGTTTTTGCCCCATTGAATGGAATTGCAATCTTCAATTGTCATCTCTTTTAATTGATATAGTTGATTGGTCTTAACTTTTATAGGCCTTAGGTAATAGTGACAATCATTCCACCTTGGTTGGATTCGTTTTCAATTTTCACTTTTTTTCTGCTGTGTTTTATGGGTCTATCTGAACGACTAGCAATATTCATGTTTCCATTGTTTCTCTTTTTCTGTCACTAAAAACTCTTGTTGATCCTCGGTCGCTTGCAGCAACTATAAAGTTCGTTATGTGGTAAAGAGGCAGCAGGATGGTTCTTGGAAGTTCTATGAAGGTGACATTCTAGTACCAACTTAGTAGGGACATTCATTGGTTAAGACACAAATAGAGGAATTTTTGCTCATTTGGTCTCGCGAGAAAATAAAAACGAAAAAGATGAAAAGGTCTACTCAGATAAATGTGCAGTAACACTGTGCCCAGAGGGGTTCTAATATTTTATGGATCTATGCCTCTGGAGTTTCTGGTTGTAAAGTATTTGATTCTTTGGTCGTTAATAGCATTCATGATTATACGTGACTCAGTATTTTGTTCACATTGGGTTTGACATGAAATGATGGAAAGAACTTTATATCAACTCTTTCTTCATTTGTTTAGAACAAAGATATGGGGATGAAATGTTAAATTATTAATTTTGAATTAAGCTTATTGTTAACTTATGTGTTGGTTTAAAAATATGACCAAACTATGAATTTTTCTACGTTTAAAAAGTTTACTTTTAAAATTATTTCAAAAATATTGTTGAAATTTTTACCAATTTAGACAACTTAATGTACCTTTTCTTTTTTTTTTTTTTTTTTTTTAA